GTGCTCTCATATCCTGTGGCAATTTTCTATGTATTCTTACTCTATATATTCAGGGGCTTGTTTTGGGAACCTCTGAAAGCAGGCCGACCCTCTCGTCCAGCACCTGTGTATAGTAACTTCTGTGCTCTTACCAGGAGCACGCCATGCTTCCAAGGGCACTTTCGCCACAGAGAAACCCTAGCACAAGGGCAAGGGCAACTTCCTGACCACCAGACACCTCTGTGTCTGTACAAATTGTACTAAGGAAATTCAGAATCTGAGTTCTGGCCTGACCTGGGGTGAGCCATGAAGCCTTTCTCAGCTTCCATTCTCTTGTGTGTGAGAGAAGGAAAAAGTTGGATGAAATCAGCAAAAACCATGCTCACGAACTGCATGGTGATGCCACCACCACTGCCTCCACAGCTGCCTTTTTGTTCTTCCTTCCTAAGAACACTCAACCATGGAAAGACACAAGACAAGCCATGTAACAGGCAACTTTAAAATGAAACAACACAACAAATGCACATCCTCATGGGTGATTTTTAAGGCAAATGTCCTTTGCCTTAAAATGCAAATTTAAACTGTGTGATGATGGCAGCTAAGTGCTAGGTGGGTTCTCTAAACCCAGCTCTGAACACAAAGGCACAGTGGCATAGTTTTGGTGGACCACGAACTCCAGCTTGCCACAACACACGTACCAGAACTCACATGCACTGCTGACATGCACCATTCGGACCGTGTCACTGATGTTGAATATGAGACAACTCTGAGATGGGCAAGGGTAAGAGAGAGGAGAAGGACTTGCTGCCTGGGAAAGGGCGATGGAGCACTAGAGAGCTGTCCAGGAAGGCTTCAGACAGGTCTGCAAGCCGAGGAACTCAGCTTTTTTAACAGAGCATGTTAAAGGAAAAAAAACATGAAAACTCCCAGTATGCTTTACTCTGGTAAGAATAATATTGGTGGTGGGGCAGAAAACACACACTGATGTTATATGGAGCACATTTCACAACATATAGCTAGCTCACTGCATCTTCAAGGACAGCTTATAGGAATCTATGTTAAAAATTGGCATGCACAGTAGCTAAGGCCACCAATGCAAGTTCCTCAGAGGGAAAGTCCCAGGCCAGATGTTTTTAACTCAAAGTAGGTAGCACAGTATTACAACTGGAGCTGAGAAATGTCGGGAGCTGCTAATCATTGAGCTGCAGCAGCCTAGTTTACTGAGTTTGTGTCATGCAAACCAGTACTTAACCTGCCCATTCAGGAGGAAGGAGTTTTCTGGAGAGCCTCACAATACCTGACCTTGAGGCATTAGTGGTAAACAAAAGGATCCAAGAAGCCTTTGATCTGACCGCTCCCTGACCCTCAGATACAGGTGGGGAAATACAGCAATTGTAACTAGTTGAGTTCTTCTGTATAAAAAGACAGTACTGAAATAAATCTAGGTGGCAGTATTTACTGTGAGCCCTCCCAAGAAGCGTCTTTTCTGTCTCCTTTCCTTTCTTTCAATCCTCACTCCCCCTTTCAGGTACTATCCGTTTTGGCCAGCTGGCACCGGCAGAGAAAGATTTAAAAAAGACTTGTACTCTATGCAAATTTTAATAATTTACACAGCGAAGTCATTTATAGTAACTGTAATGAGTACGTTTACAGTTCCTAAAATTATGCAAGCACATTCTATCACAATTGGCAAAGTGAGATACTGTTTGCCATACAATTTTTATTATCCAGAATCTATAAAAAATTGCCATTAACAAAAGAGTGGATCTTTTAGTTCTTTCATTGACAATGGGCTTCAGTACAAGAAAATCTCACCTGTACAAATGTTCTCACTCAGTTCCTTTTAGAAATCTGCTCTGATTTCTGTTTAGAGTTAAATATTCCCTTCCAAGGTTTACAAGCCAGACACTGCCAGAGAAATAGAAAGTAAGAATGACTAGCCAGATGTCACTGCTGAAGAGTGAACCGCAGGCGCACTCAGAACTTTACAGGGTCAAGGGACAGAATGAGCCTCATGACACCCTTCGATAGCTGGGGCAGAAAAGAAGGCAGCAGGATAAGACAGTGGAGAACCTAGGGACAGTGCTCTCCGCTCACCTCCAGACAGTAGTCCTTCAGCGGGTGAAACATCGCAAAGAACAAATGTTCCTGGATGCGCTGCCAATTCTTCCTGGCATTC